TCTTGTATGTTCATAATAATTAAGTATATTTATAATCCATTGCTAATCGATGTATTCTTTTTAAAGTAGCCTATAGAACATATTTTCTTCCTTATTCTATGACAAGAAGCCACATCAGATTACAAAAGGAAGCATTTGACTGGTGTTGAAACAAAAATATAACGTAGAAATAGGCAGAAAACGAAATATTCCTTCCTAGCAGCAAGTAATAATTCCAACAGCAGATCTATAAACAAGTATTATGCAGGACACTCACGTGCAGCCGTCTGTCTCTTCTGTTGACTTCTGGTACTGTGCTATAATATACACAAAGAATATCGGCCTTTTTTTTTACTCCCTAATATCGGTATCGGTATCGGCCCCAAAAAACCCATATCGGTCGGGCTCTACTTCTTACGTCCGTTTCGGAGAATCAGAGGACAAATATTTCAATCAATCGGTCAGGCATAGCACTGAAATGAGGCACCGAAATCTGTGTTCTGATTCGGTTCTAGTACATACCGTTTACATAGGTACCAGTGCCATACTGGGAAGTCGTGGCCTAATGGTTAGAGAGTCGGACTTGTAACCCAAAGGTTGCGGGTTCGAGTCTCGTACCGGAAGGGATTGTAGGTGGGGGGAGTGAATGTACAGCGCTCTCTCCCACCTTCAATACCACGACTGAGGTGCCCTTGAGCAAGGCACCGAACCCCCAACTGCTCCCCGGGCGCCACAGCAAAAAAATGGCTGCCCACTGCTCCGGGTGTGTGTTCACGGTGTGTGTGTGTTCACTGCTGTGTGTGTGCACTTTGGATGGGTTAAATGCAGAGCACTGATTCCAAGTATGGGTCACCATACTTGGCCACATTTCACGTCACATATTGGTAACCGGGTTTCGGTACCCAACCCTAATGTTAAAACGTTTTTTGTTTTCTTTTACTCTGAAGTAAGCACTGATTAATCATTTACATTAAGACTACAAAAGTCTCTTAAAAAGTAAACAGTCATATTGTTTTCATGTTGGGAATTTTTAAAGGTGTGGTATATAATTTCTGCCCTCTAACCACACTAAATGGAAATGCAAAAATTATTCCTTCCAAACTGGTTTCCCAAACACTCCTCATCTACAAACACACTGTAGACAGGCAGTGTGCTCACAAACAGGTAGTCCCACCACAAACCCGTGCCATTGGTTGAGCCGAAAGTTGACATGTCGGACCACTCAAATAAAGAGAGCAGAGATGACAGAGATGTCTCTTGGGTTTGGGTTCACCTGACCCCTATTGGACATTTTTCTTGTAGGTTGTTTACGTAAGCATTTAAAAACAGTTAGATGGAGCCTGTTGTCGTCAACCTTCATGACCTATCCTTAGCTGTGTATGTGCCCTCAAAAACTTCTCTGAACCTTGTTGTTATTTAGGTGGACAGTCATCTATACCAGAGGGTGTGTTTTGTCAGTGACTCATTTCCCTCAATGTTTCCTTCTTGCTTTAGGCCACGGAAAAAACCACAAGGATGCAGCGTCTGTACGGGCCACCCATCCTATCCCTGCCGCTTGTGGCATCTACTACTTTGAGGTGAAGATCGTAAGCAAAGGAAGGGATGGGTAAGTGCAAACAGCTTCTGGTTGGTGGCATTTCTGCACAGTGTTTTACTGAGATATGTGAATCATTTGTTGCGTCACTGGTAAAATTGGAAGACAAGAGGTGTCTGTTTTTTTAATCTGTTATACATATAGTGGGGCTCAAAATCCTGAGAGCACATTGAAAATCTTAGGACTTTGAAAAAAAAGGGAAAAAAAAAACAATGATAAAATTAATGAGTGATATTTCATATTCTGCACTGTTTCTAGATCACCTAGTAAATTTGTGACATTGGTCATGTGACTCCCTGTACAGATGTTTAGGTGTTCTTGATTTCACTGAAGTAAAAATCAAATCATGCTGGAAAACATGATCATGAAAGTTTTACACAAACTTGTGGAGTTCATGTAGCTTGAGTGCAGCTATCAATAAAGCAAAATGACAAACTGAAATGAATGTAAAGCATTCTCTCACAGTGTCAGAATGGTAATTGCTGTGAAACACTGACCTTGCGTAATGCTTGAGTCACTAGTTGGTAAGTATTTGTCATGCCTTCAGTTTGAAGATGTCATTGTCCAAAAATAAATGGAAAATTTTTCCACCCTTTCCTGTCACCACTTTGCAATATGATTACTAAATATATTCATGCTGTATCACTCATGTTCTACTAGGCCATCTAACTGCAACTTACAGGTCGTGCCTAAAACTGTTGAAAAGTGCCGAGTCATCCTTTAGTCACTGGTCTCAGCCTGTGAAACTCTCTCTCAGACGCACTTAGCACTTATAAAAAGTATCCCAAAATACCTTATACTCAGTTTAGTCACCAATTTAATTATTTCAGTTCAATTAATTTGAATTTTGTTAGGGTGCAGTCACGTTTACTTATTATTTGGTGAATTTTCATGGGCAAAATTTTGTGATGGTGAAAGATTTCCCCACACAGATTTCACAACAGGTTCAAGTTGGTCACATATTTACTGCATATTGACCAAAAGAATTAAATTTCTGCAAACTTTTGAGGGCTATTGTCAATAGTGTAAAGCACAGCTCACACAAAAGTCAGTTCTCATTGGTTTAAAAGTGACTTCTGTGTGAACTGTGCTTTATACATCGCAACACTATTGACGATAGACCCTGGACCCTTTTTTGCCCACAAAACTTTGCAGAAATCAAAAGCATAATGTATGGTTTAAATGCAGTTTCATTGTTTATCAGAGGCCTTATTTGTAGTAAAGCTAACATTTGTGCTCTCTCATTGGTGTTTGCAGGTACATGGGAATTGGACTGTCTGCTCAGGGGGTCAACATGAACAGACTGCCTGGTGAGTGTGTGTGTGTGTGTGTGTGTGTGTGTGTGTGTGTGTGTGTGTGTTTGTGCTTGTATTTACACTAAAGGGATGAGCTGTTCACCATGGGTCTGTGGGTGACTAAAGAGAGGGTGAGGTTCTGTAGCCCACAAAAAGGCAATTTAAAAAGTAGCTTTATTTGGTTACTTAAGTGTGTTTAAGTAAAAAATAAATGGTGTTTATAACCCATTTTAATTCTGCCAGAACATTGGAGAAAAAAAAAGTAGGGAGGCACTTGATTTCATCCATTGGGAATGATTGGATTGTGAAAAGTGGGCGTTACATGCCAGAATGGAGCCAGGCGATTGGAGAGAGCCAAAAAGGAAAGTTGTTTAGGAAGAAGAGCTTTGAAGATCAAAAGAGAAGTTATTACATTTTGATTAAAGATTATGAAGATTATGGCCATTCATGAAAAGGCCAACGCTGACTTTACGATTCACTTTTGGTTATAGTCTTGTAGCCTAAGACCATTTGTCTTCTGCTTTTTCCGTCTTACACTTTTTAATAGCTTTCTATCACATTAAGACTGTAATTCAGGCCGGGAACAGGCCTCAACATGTCCTGAAAAACACTAGCTGTGGGAATGACCTTGCAAATGCACAGACATCTCAGGGTTTTTCTTTCTGTGCACCTCATTCTCAGGAAATAACTTAGTGATGTGTTTTTTTTTTCTCATGAGTCCTCAAAGGAAAGGAGACCTAGATCTAATTATTGGTTTTCCTCAATGGATTTTACCTGGCATCCAGAATGTTCTGAGATCACAAAGCCTTGTCATAATTATTCATAGCTAAAAGCTAAAATTAATCAGAGAAAATCTTTTCATTCTCGCAGAGAATCCATTCACACACTAGAGGACGTCAAGCTGCTACTGGACCAGTTCATTTAAATGACTAAATGCAATGAAAAATTACAAAATAACCAAACATAATCCAGTTTGATTGCAAAAACCAAATGAAATGTTCTTGCATTATCATAATGAAGGATGTTAAATAGAAAATGTGACTGAATATTTTGACTATAGTATGTGGAGCACACTCCTATACACAATATTTGGAATTTGAAAAATGTTTGCTGCTTTATCCTATCAGTTTACTCACGTATGATTTGATAATGCAAAGTTAATCTGATTACATTTAAAAGTAATTTAATAGTAAGACATATTAAATTTAAATCAAAATTTGTTGCTAAATTAAACACTGAATTGAACAGGTGGTGTGAACACAAGTTTGACACTAATTAAGATTTAATATGTAAATAGACAATAATGAATTTAGTAACCTGTTTTGAATGATATTCAAATAGATTCAGAGTGTGAATCACATCTTACTGAAGAAACATAACATTCTGTATTAGCTCTCTCTTTTATCTGTAAAAAGTCAAGTATTTTCAGCAGACTTCAGTGTAACATGATCCTTCAGAAATCATTCAAATTTGCAGATTTTTTATTATTATCAATGTTGAAAACAGTAGTGCTGATTAATATTTTTTGTGGAACCGTCGTGCATTTTTTTCAAGATTCTTTGATAAAGAACAGCAATTTATTTGAAATAGAAATTGACCCCAAACTTAACGTTTATTAGATAAGAGCATAATAGAAAGGCCTGTATGCAGAAATAGAGAGAGCAGTTTTGGGCACAGTTGGGTTCATGTCACTCCCCTGTTACCTCTCTGACCAGTCAAGTGACTTTGTCGATCGCTTGTTAGCTTCTGTACTGTGCCTGAGGCCTTTGAAACGCTTCGGAGCAATCTAGCCAATTTGGCATGTGCGTGCTGACAACTTATGTGTTTATTGACCCCTGTGCTCTCTTCATGAACCACTCTTTGTCTCAGAGTGCTTTGGAATATAGTGGAATGTAGACAAACGCATGTAGAGTGGCCAATGTATTTTCTGGTGCGTTTAGTGCCTACAGCCAACAGCATGATATTCTTTCTCTGGTTGTAGGTGCTTCCTTGACTAGAGCTGGGATGCTGTAATATATGTTAAGTTCAGGTTGCTGAATTAGTGCTACAGTTTATGCTGGCAAATTCATGTTTCGTTTAGGTCTGATGTTATATTTTTGGTATTTTGTAATTGTGTGTTATAGAACAAAGCTGGTTTATTGGAAAGAATTAGATGTTAAAGTAATCTAATATAGTAAATAATAAGTAATACAATATATTCATATAATATAAATAATGTAATAAGTATAAATAATACAAATAAATATAATAATATTGTTAAAAAAATAAATGTAAACAATATTAATTGAACATTTTATCACATTTTATGTATGTTTTATTCATGTGTATATACACACACACACACACACACACATATATATATATATATAATATCTAAATATCATTATGTTAGTTTCTAATGTCTTTAATCTGTTTTTTCCTCTTTAGTTCACTTGCTTTTTGCAATTAACTATCCCATAATTCCAAAACAAAACACTTATATCAGTAGAAGTTACTGTAGTTTCTTATGAGAATGTATGGTGCATTGGCACATTGTATATTTGCATGTGTGGTATGTGTGCAATTTGAGTGTAATGGTTTTACGCGCACCGCTGACCTCCGTGTCTCTGAACCCATACTGGAGTGCTGCCCATTTCATTAGCATGAAGGGAACACTGAGCTCTGCTTTAGGAGTAATATCCCTGCCCACACTGCTCTGCAGATTAATCTAATACCACACTAATTTTTTCATTCGTTTTGCATCTGTTCAGTCTGTCATTCACAGAATGCACTTGTTTACTCCGTTTCACGTAGTGACTATAAATATAATTGCTTACGCAATACCATTTTTATCATGTACTAATCATGATTGCCTGCCAGCATTCAAGTTTTGAGTCAGATCGGCCCGATGCAGTGCTAGTTTCAGAACAGCCAAAAAGCCAACTTCTGCTCACCAGGACCATCATCAGGCATTACAGTCAGGACCTAAGTGTGTTTTTGCTGTGGTTCACCCTTATAATTTCCCAAAGTCCTGCTGCCTATCCTGCAAGGGTCCACCACTTATTCTTTTCTGCACAATTATGTGAATGGTGCTCATAATTTATGTAAGAAGCAGTATTTTATGATGCTGTAGACCAGATGGCATATCAAACGCTGCAGGCTTAGGATCGGCTTCGACTCATCCTGTGACTATCAGTACAGAGGCAGAAACAAGATTCCTTATTAGCAGGCGAAATCTGTGCCGTCCTAGTTCTCTACATAAGTGAAACACCATTTGTTGACATCCCATGCATATTTGATTATTACATACTTTGGCTAATTTGCTTATGCTCTCAGCTTTCAATAAGAGTGTAGTAGTGTCATTGCTGTCTAAAATAGTTTAGGATGTCAATACAGAATTCCACAGATTTCCCTCTAACATCACTGCAAGAAATGTAGCTTTTGAATCCAGGTAATTCCCATTTTAATTATTATATGTATTTCTCTCTCTCACCTCTCTCTCAGGTTGGGACAAGCACTCCTATGGTTACCATGGTGACGACGGACACTCCTTTTGCTCCTCAGGGACTGGCCAACCAGCAATTTGAATAAGTTTATGTTGGAAGTACTAAATTTACTAAAACTAAACAAATAAAAATAAAGCTGAATGAAAATATAAAAAAACTAATGACAAAAGTGCACAACAAAATTAAATAGACTAAAATTAACTCGACATAATATATACTAGTATATAGATAATACTAAAATGAATAAAGAAGACTGGGACCATTTTATTTGAAAATGTTTCAGGCTTTTGGATGTAACTTTATGCTTATATTGTCTCCTTGTCATGTTACTTTTTTCATGTCAAGACCTCCATCAGACCTGTATCTCTGTACTAGCTTGTACTTTTCTGCCCAACTTTGAATCTTTGTATTGCAGCAGTTCTCATGTTACGCTCCCCCTAGGATGAATTGCTTGTATTGTAGCATTCCTCATTTGTAAGTCACTTTGCGTCTGCTAAATGAATACCTTTAATGGTGGATCGATAACGTGTTGTAGGCTAGTCATGAGCTCAAATGAGGATTTCTGCTTCTGTGTGGAGCTTCAGTTAAGGCCTTGCCAGTTAAGGTGTGACTGAAGGATTGCCTGTTCTGTGAATTACTGAGGGAGCATGTGTAGACCTTCTGAACAGACTCTCAGCTCTCTCTTTTTGTCCCTGTCTCTCATTTCAGCCTAACCTGTACCCCACAGTAGGGCTACAGACTCCAGGGGAGATAGTAGATGCTAATTTTGGCCAACAGCCTTTTGTGTTTGACATTGAGGACTACATGAGCGAATGGAGGGCCAAGATCCACAGCATGATCGCCCGCTTCCCCATCGGAGAAAGACTGGGAGACTGGCAGGCGGTTCTGCAGAAGTGAGCATCCAGTCACCTTATAATAAATTCAGCAGTTGCAAAATTGATAGAAACATCTACTTCATGTTACGTTGCTAATCAGCCTTGTTATGTGGCTAATTTGTGATTCATAATGTTTTTTCACCTCATATGAACCTTTTTATGTTTATATCTGTAGTATGGTGTCCAGCTACCTAGTGCATCATGGATATTGTGCCACAGCAATGACCTTTGCCAGAGCCACAGAGACCATGATCCAAGAGGACCAAACCTCAATAAAAAACAGACAGAGTGAGTACAAAGTCAACTAGTTTAGCTACAAATAAATGGAAATGAATAAATGGATAATTATGTGTGATTTGAATATGTGGCAGAATTAATAAGTTAAACAGATCTTCTCATGTCGTTTGTGGTTTGGTAATAGGAAAATATAACCGTTATGAGGAACTTAACGCTTTACGGAATAAGCAAAACCATTGCTTTTTTTGGATGATTGGTTATGAATATTTGATCAATTTCTCAGTTAGAGTTATAGTAAAGCATCTTTGATTTAAGATGTAATGAACACACTGCATATTTAATGTTACCATAATTAGTTATCTGGCACTGGCCAAAACTGAGTGAATTTAATAAATCTTGTTGAAAGCAGCTTTTCATGAGATTATGAGATGAATTAAATGTTATGTGTGATTTTGCTCACAAAGAAAGGCAGAGTCTATAGGAGTATACTTTAATGCTGAAAGTTGGTATTATCATGAGTAATCAAATTTTCTGTGATCTTCTCAGATAAAAGAGCTCAATGTACAATAAAAGTATGATGTAGCTTTGAACACTTAAAACGTCTCCTTTGCAAAAAGAATATGTACTGAAACTAAGCTTCAAAAATGACTCCCTCGGATTTCAATCCTAATCCTTTCAGGTAATATGTAGAAAGTATTGATTATAAAGGCCTAATTCCTAAACAAAATAAGTAGAACAAAAAAAGTGTAAACTGTTCAACTAACCTTGTGCTTTTTCTGGTGTGTGTAGCACCTACACTCTGCATATCTTACCTGAATGATACCAATAATAGAAATTAAATGCTTTATTTATTTATTTATTATAATAGGGTGACCATACGTCCTCCATTTCCCTGACATGTTCAGGAATTCTAAATTGGCTAAAATGTCCAGGATTTGGCTTTGTTTTCCTATTGCCGTGCTCTCTATGGTCCTCAAAAAAAACATGGTGCTCATGCATGTGCGAGACGGTGAAATAGCAGCGCATTCAAAGTTGTGCATATAACGTTGCATTGTTTTAACCGTTCTCTGTACACTGTAAAAAATCAAAAGTTGAGAAATCTTCAAAGTTTAAGGCAACCAGCTTCAGGAATTGAGAAAAATCTAAAATCTCCTGAAGCTGGTTGTCTTAAACTTTGAAGTTTTCTCAACTTTTGATTTTTTACAGTGTATATCCCCCTTTCGTGCAGCCACGATTGGTTGAATATGTACACATGTCTGCACGCTATAGGCCAAACAGTTATTACTTTCAGCAGATATCCAAACAAAAGTAACACAAAAAAAAGGATGTTAGGGTCACCCTATTTTAAAAGACCCTGTTCTTAACTGTCAAGAGCTGCATATTTCACTATACGTTATTATTATGCCAACCTGTCACAATGTGATTCAAGCTTTGCAAAGAGGCTGTTAAAGATAAATGGAGCATTTAAAAACTATATTGGCAACAAACCCTTGCATTTAAGCGTCATTTATCATTTCACCTGTGAAGAGGGCATTTACATAGAAGTCTCAAGAGCATAAGAGTAATAAAACACCTGTTTAAAAGGGTCAGAGACAAGGAAAATTATCATAAAACTAAATTATGAATGCTCAAAACACTTTACTAACATTGTAAGTGGACCTTAGGGAGAACTATTGAGTGATAAAAAATGTATGATATGACCACTTTAACAAAACAAGAGCAAAACACACTAGTGGTTTCTTCTTTATGCTTGCAGGAATACAGAAGCTGGTATTGGCAGGACGTGTTGGAGAAGCCATTGATGCAACACAGCAGTTGTACCCCGGACTCCTAGACCATGACCCCAATTTACTCTTCATGTTGAAGTGAGTACTGTATGTCTACCAGCCTCTGAGAACCATGTGTGTGTCTTTTTGTTTGGAATGGATCAAGAGGAATTGCTTAAATCCTGAAACAAGGTAAAAAATGTGCTCTCTTTTCTGGGGATCAGTAGAGCTCAGTTGTATTTGAACTTCCAAAGTTTTTTGGAGTTTCATAGTGCAAACGTACTCAGAAAACATGTAGCCTGAAATTAGGGCAGTCTTTAACTCTGTGTTGTACATAATGAAGGTTTCTAAAGTGCCCTATGGTCATTCTGACGCATTTTTGTTACTTGCCTTTATAGAAAAAAAACACACAGGGTGAAAAGAGGGTCATGGTTGCTTTGGACTGAGCTGCTTCTGATATGATTAGTCATACTATTGCTTAAGGTTGAATATGAACTGCCTTTGAACTAACTTTTTAGTAACGCTTACAAGTCATACATCAGCAACAGCAATTGAATTGTGGATGTTTTTTATAATATTCAGGCTATGCTTCCAAATATTTATCTTGCTGAGAGGTTTTTGTGGGAACAATGACTTATGACTTTTAAATTGCATGCAATTAGAAGATCCACCTACTAAAATAAGTGGATGCAAAGAATAACTGAAGTTAACAAAATGGAAAGGTTTGCATAATTGCTTTCACTTAAAAAATAAAAGTTATCGAGAGTTAATGGGGAATGGTAAGTTTTGGTTTTGGCTGGCATTCTAACATTCAAAAAAAAAATTCAATGTATTCAAAAAAAGCAATGTATCACAGTTTCTACAAAAATATGAAGCAGCAGCTGTTTTCAACATTGATATTAATAGGAAATGTTTATTTTACAGCAGAATAAAATGATTCAAAATTATTTCTGATGGATCATGTGACACTGAAGACTGTAGTAATGGCTGCTGAAAATTCAGCTTTGCCATCACAGGAATAAATTACATTTTAAAATATAAAAGTTAAAACATTTTCATTTGTAAAAATATTTTACAATATCACTTGTTTATACTGTATTTTTATGAAATAAATTAAGCCTTGGTGATCATAAGAGACTTCTTTAAAAAAAAACATCTTCTTTTTTTTAATCTTACCAACCCCCAATTTCTGAACAGCAATATATGTAAAAAATCTCTGTTATTGGACAAACCAGTAAAGCATTATGAATTATTCCTCGTGTTGAGTGATTTCCGGCAACTATGTTCTTTGTTAGTCTTCTGGTCTTAGGCCCTGCGTGAACCTCATCAATAACACATGCTTTTACACCAAGAATGGGCACAGTTTAGGTAATAATTGAATGAAATATTATTTAAGCATAAATTGTATTAATGCTTAAATCGTTAGAAATCAGTTTTGGGGCTCAAGTTAAAGTTTTTGATATTTTTCATATGTAATTTTAGAATACACAATACTAAGCAGTTCTGATTTTTTATTTTAATTTTTCCTCCAGGTGTGGCTTTCACAGATCTCCCAGTAAGTAAAGCACACAGACCTCAAACAGTGTAATCTAAAACTCAAATTATTAAAAATAGATTTTTAATTCTGTTATTGGACAAACCAGTAAAGCATTATGAATTATTCCTCGTGTTGAGTGATTTCCGGCAACTATGTTCTTTGTTAGTCTTCTGGTCTTAGGCCTAAAGGGATAGTTCACCCAAAAATGAAAATGCTGTCATCATTTACTCATCCTCAAGTTGTTCCAAACCTGTATGAGTTTGTTTCTTCTGCTGAACACAAAAGATATTTAGAAAAATGTGTGTAACCAAACAGTTGATGGTCCTCATTGTCTCCCATAGTATTTTTTTCCATACTATGGCTTATCAGCTGTTTGGTTACCCGTATTCCTCTAAATATCTTCTTTTATGCGAATAAACACCCTCAGAATGTTCATTTTTGTGTGAACTATACCTTTAATAATTCTTTGTCATGCATTGAAAGCATGATATCGCTGATCTTTAGTCCTCAAGCAAACTGCATTAAGACAATAAGTGTAAGCACTACAGAGCAATAAACCCTGTTCTCAACATGTTACTGGCGTTTATTGGGCATTTGCTGCCTCTGTGTAATGTTGAACTTCTCTTTGGGAACAATTGCTGTTATGTTTGCTTGGCTGGAATTTCGTTTCGACAAAGATAAAACTGATTTTTTATATAAAGCCTCACATGGAGGTGCATGCATGCTATTATTTAATTGCACTGTTGGATGCCATCAGATGTCAGATGCTGCTGTGGGAATAGTGCCAGGATGTGTGGGAAGGAAGCAGTGAGAGCTGACTCCTCTCTCTCTCTGTGATGGATAACAGTTGAATGACAAGCAGACAGTTTAATGGATTGCTGAGCCGACAGTGTCAGTCAGTAGGCATAATGGATAACAGAAACCTGGTTGACAGACATTTGAATTGATTGGCAGGTCTGAAGTGAGTGTATTTGTGTGTGAGATCTCACTGGTATAAAAGTGATTTTTGCTGCTCTCCCTTAGGTGTCGGCAGTTTGTGGAGATGGTGAATGGAACAGATAGTGAGGTACGGTGCTTTAGTGCCCGCTCTCCTAAATCACAGGACAGCTATCCTGGCTCCCCCAACCTGAGCCCGCGGCACGGAGCCACCAACGCTCACTTGCACAACACAGGTGACAGACACACCTCTCTCTCTCTCTCTCTCTCTCTCTCTCTCTCTCTCTCTCCCTCTCTCTCTCTGTGATGGATAACAGTTGAATGACAAGCAGACAGTTTAATGGATTGCTGAGCCGACAGTGTCAGTCAGTAGGCATAATGGATAACAGAAACCTGGTTGACAGACATTTGAATTGATTGGCAGGTCTGAAGTGAGTGTATTTGTGTGTGAGATCTCACTGGTATAAAAGTGATTTTTGCTGCTCTCCCTTAGGTGTCGGCAGTTTGTGGAGATGGTGAATGGAACAGATAGTGAGGTACGGTGCTTTAGTGCCCGCTCTCCTAAATCACAGGACAGCTATCCTGGCTCCCCCAACCTGAGCCCGCGGCACGGAGCCACCAACGCTCACTTGCACAACACAGGTGACAGACACACTCCACACTAACATCTTCAGTGTTACTTAAAAGTTAAGCACTTTGTGTTTTAATGTATTTGGTTGAATCATAAAAATCCCTAGTTTCATCTGATAATCAAAGTATTTTGCATAAGGGAAACAAATTGAAATTGTGACATTATTTGCATGACATTTAAATCAATTTTCTTTCCTAAATGCTTATTAACATAATTCTCAAAAAAAATCATGAATAAATTATCATTAATAAAAACATCTATTACATCAATACAGCAATTCAGTCCAACAAATACCATGTTGTGTATTTCCAATTGCACGTTATACATTTTCTTAATTATTGATCTAAATTAATTCATGCTTATTAAGATTTATTAAGTTTTTTCACATTACAGTAATGAGAAGGACTTTTTTTGCATTATATTTATATGAAAATAATGTTACAGTGCAAACATTTGTAATGCTTCTAACTTAGGCTTCATTTTTTTGTGAAATGCTTTTGGTAACACTTTATTTTAAGATTCAATTCTCACTATTAACTAGTTGCTTATTAATACGCATATTACTAGCATATTAGCTGTTTATTAGTACTTATTAGGCACATATTAATGCCTTATTCTGCATGACCATGTTCTAGATCCCCTACCTAAACTTAACAACTGCCTTATTAATTATTAATAAGCAGCAAATTAGGAGTTTATTGAGGGAAAACACTTAGTTAATAGCGAATGTGTTCCCTAATCTAAAGTGTTTGCATATTATTATTATTAGTAGTAGTAGTAGTAGTAGTAGTAGTTTTTATTTAATTTGAGGTCACATATGACCTTGATATTTATTAATGTCTACAGTGTTTCTGTTAAATTGTCTTGAACAGGCCCACACAGAATTTGTATACCTTTTTTTTCTCCAAAAAGTATAGGGTAGAAATCTATGCAATTAGAAGCAGTCAGTCATTGATTCATTCCTTTTTGTTAGCATTATTACAATCAATTTATTAAATGTATTTCAACAAATAACACCATGATGTGTATTTACACTTGCACTCTATACATCTTTTTAATTACAAATCTAATTGAATTCATATTTATTCATTTATTTCTTAGCTGAGCTAACTAATCTAATAGGTAGCTGAAAGCATTAATCAAATTAGCCCAAATATTTATTAAACCAAGATGCAAGGGTTGAAGGATGTATAGACCTTTGTGAAGAACAGATGTTCAAATTCAGAATTCCGTGGGCTTAGATTCTGTGTGGGTCTGATCATGAGTAACATGCTTCATAAAAGATGTGGAGCAGATGGTTTCTTGAATCACTTGTTTCACCTGTACTGCAGTTGGCTGGATTATGTAACTTACAATTGAAGTGATGCCCTTTCATTCATATTGTTTCTCAAGATAGTTCTCATTATTTCTTTCTCTCCTCATGACTCAGGAGCAGACAGTCCCACATGCAGTAACGGGGTCACCCCTACTAACAAAAATAAGAGCCACAACAAATACACAGGCGTAAGCTCTGCCTCCTCCTCTCCATCCTCCTCTCCTTCCTCCGTCAATTACTCCGAGTCCAACTCTACCGACTCCACCAAGTCCCAGCCTCACAGTGCCACCAGCAACCAGGAGACTAGGTCTGTGTTGTTGTTTGGGTTAGTAATTGGCTTTTCGTCTTTGAACCAGACAGAAAAACAGAATATGTGGTCCTATGCAAGCAAGGCCAAGCATATAAAATTGATCTTGCTCACAAATGTTGTGTGCTTACATTCTCGAGAGCCCAGCTCTGCTGTTGACTGTGTATTTTTGTGTGTTGACAGTGATAGTGAGATGGAAATCGAGGCAGAACATTACAGCAATGGCGTGACAGAAAGCTCAACCCGCATTATGAATGGCACATACAAACACCAGGAAATCCTGCAGGCGGATGACAACAGTGTTGGCAATGGAGTAGCAGGTACAGGACATGCTCGCACACCACATATGCAGGACTTTCAACGTCGTACGCAACAGGCTGTGAGAATGCCTTTTTAAAATTTGTCTCCTCGTTTCTCATTCATTCTTCACTCTGAAGTGACTAGTTCTTTCTCTGCTTTCTCTGTCCTTCTCTCCCTTGAGAGCTGCTAAATTGAGCTTCTCTATAATTCAGCCCATTAAATGTTTTTCTCCAAGGTTACAAAGAGAGAGAGTGATCTTTTGTAGTTGCAAAGTTTTTGTAGAGTGTGTAGTTTTTTTTATAGCACCCAGTGCTCAGTGTTTTTTTTTTTTGTAATACTTTACAAAGTATTACTTTACAATACTTTGATTATAATGACTTATACTGTCTTTTTACGCGTTGCGTTGCATCGCGCCGCGTAAACATAAAACCATGTCTGCATTTGTGATCGGAGAAATGACAAACAACAAGCGCTACTCTACACTGCTCAAACTCGCATTTGAATCGTCAGTGGCAAATTCTTTAAATATAAAAACGTACTTACAGTCTGTGAGTCAGAACAGCCGGCATTGTAGTCTACTCTCCCAGGATCAGGAAACAGTCCTCCATAAAATGTGCTGCACACATCTGAATATTTGGGTTGTACTTTTCTGTAACAGTGTTGTAAATACAACTTAACCACTGATTTCTAGTCGTGTCCTCTTTTGGAAGACCAAACAAAGTAGTTTCGCTTTCACAACGAAACACAGCATCACACACGGCGGGCTAGAGTGAGCGGCAGCAGGAGGCCTAGAGTGAGGAACAGCCGGCAGGTTAGAGTGAGCGGAGGCCAGCTTGAGTGAGCGGAGGCGGGCGGAGGCGGGCGGGCTTGCGGCAACCACATGTGATGACCGCTGCGTCCACGGTGAAAGCCGATCTGGCGATCCACAGCGCGAAGTTGATGTATTTCCTCAGCGACCAGCACGGATCAGCTCCAGGCATGATGAAGCAGATATCGTCCTCTTTTGGAAGGCCAAATAAAGTAGTTTCGCTTTCACAATGAAACACAGCGCCTTCACGACATGGCGGCGGTGGCAACAATACTACAGCGAGAATAAAAGTAATGCCTTATTTCTTTGCGTGAACATTTGGGCGGCGTTATTCAAATATTCCCACATCGTGACGTAGACATGTGGGGGCGTGTTAGAACGAGCCGTTTTAGGAGGGCGTGGTTGACTCTTAACTTTTATAAAGAATATCTCTTTGGATTTGAGACTTTAGTCTTTGCAACTTTACAGATCTTCTTTATGCACCAAGAGCTTGTAACACTCCAAAGAGAAAGGAAAAATTGAAATCATATGACCCCTTTAAGAGACTTCTTTCTAAAACATCTTAAACATTTGTATTATATTATATTACAATATTTGCATTTCCAATAGTTCCACTCACTTATTAAACAGCCTCAGATTAATAAAATAATTTAGGTGAGATTTCCCAGCAGTATTATATTGAAGCAATTTAACCACAATAGCTATGTGTACCATGCAATTAGAGTTGCAAACATGTCTGCTTTTGTGGTTTCATTGCAATTTATCTGCTCCTCTAGATGACAGCTGCAGTTTGTTTGTTTGTTTGTTTGTTTGTGTGTGTGTGTGTGTGTGTGTTCAGGATGCATTCAGTCTGCTGGCATACTCAGACCCCTGGAACTGCCCCGTGGGCCAGCAGTTGGACCCCATGCAAAGAGAGGCGATCTGCTCCGCTCTCAACAGTGCTATTCTGGGTAAGGCTGCTTGGCTGGCTGAGATCATACACTACTAAGTTCTGTGAACATGATCGCTTATGTAGGCTTTTT